AACAGTTCCTTACTTCTCAATTTGAAATAGCCTTGGAACAAGCGATTGATTACTGAGCTAAGATGGCAAGAGATCCGAGTAGACGATGCAACAAGAAGTTTCATTACACAGCTTACTAATCTAAGTATTGACGCTAAATGGAAAAATCTAAAAAGTATAAACAAATGAGCTGAGACAACCTACAAAGAAAACGAAGTAAACTGGAGAGAGGTTTGAAAAGATATAAACAAAGTAAAAAGTAGAAAATGTACAAGTTTCCAAGCAAACAAAGATTGGATTTTCAAATCAAGCATCTTAATGGTCTACTACCAACAATGCAAATCTTAAGACAGAGAAAAAAAGATCTATACATGGACGACACTTGTAAGATTTACTTCCAAGAATGTAAGACGCAAGATTACTTGCCGAATGTACTAAGTTACAATTAACTTGGAACAAGCTCAAAGAAGAAGGCTGCTCAGCTATCATTAACAAGGCAGAGAAAGAAAAAGCAAGCTTGAAGATATACAACAAGCAAAAAATAGCAGAAATAGTGTTTGACAAAAGCCTTAAGAAAAAAATTTCAGCTAGAAAAGAACTAATAAGAGGCCTGGTAACAAAGCAAAGAGTCTAAAGAATTTGCTCTTTGTTAGAAGAAGAAGTGGGAAAGTTCTCCAAAATCCTGCAAATCTTTATTGACAGTTTCTCAAAACATTTTCACAAGCTCATTTGGAATCCTCGATGCGAAAAGGTTATAGAATGGGAAAAGAAAGAAGGCATAATGAAGAGAAAAAAAACAGAAAATATCAAAAAAAGAAAGAGTGAAGAGGCAAAGAAACAAGACAAAGAAAATAGAAACCTATCAGGCAGCATAAGAGAGAAAGATACCAGAAGAACCAAGGTTAGCCACAAAGAAAAAAAACTCGATACAGTTAAGGAAAGAAAAAATCTAATCAGAGAATGGGTCGCGTGGTGAACCAAACCAGCATGGTCCTCACTAGTTAAGCCGAAAGGGTTTTTTTAAATATGCTTGACATGGCAGACAACGGCCAATTAATGACCAAGGGGGTATCTAAATCAGTATGAAATTCTTAAAAAGTTAAGAATTCTGAGAGAAATAAATTATTGTTTTAGCAGGTTGCACTGAATAAATACTTGGCAAGTCTTTTTTAGATAGAGCAATATACTATAAAGACAACTTATATATGTATAATAGTCAAATAGTAGTTCAAATAAACAAAGACAAGACTGCTTAAAAAAAAAATAAAAAAAATAAAATAAAATTACCAAATTACCAAATATAGTAATTTTATTACTATATATAGTAATTTACTAAATATTTTTTTAAAAATTATAAAATTTTCAAGATATGTACAATTTGTCATGCTACATAACTTTTTTTAAAAAAAATTGCTAGTATACTTGCTAAAAAATTAAGTTTTATATATACTAAAAATTAATATTTAAATTTATACTAAATCTATATTAAAAACTAGTAAATCGTACAAATAAAAAAATTTAAAAAATTTTTAAACTTAACTATCTCAAAAAGTATTGCATAGAATTTTATAATTTTTTTTTTATTTAAAAGCTTTAGATTTATATAATCTTTTGTATAATTTTAATCTATAATAATATGATAGGCCACTGTAGTTTAATTTAATATTATAATAACTTTTATTTTATAACTAATTTACTTATAAAATTTTTTAGTCCGCTAAAACTAGTGAAGGTTCAGAAATTGCTAATGTTCAGAGTAAGGTTGTGCCGGCACAAGAAAAAGTATCTAAAAGGAAGAAGAGGCAGAAAAAAGTAAAACAAGTGTAAATATTATTATTTAATAATATAATAAATTTAATTTTATATTTAATTAACTTTAATTTTACTAGTTTCTAAAAAGTTCTGATGTCCCTTGTGAAACAAAAGTAATTATTATAATTTATTACTATAATAAAAATTAATTTTATAACTAACATTTTATATACAATTTTTATAGTCTTCAAGGAAACAAGGAATTACACAAGTTACCAAAGATGAACATGGTGAAGGATCTGGTATAAGTTCTAAATTTATATAATAATTTAACAATATTTTTACTTTTATATAAATTAACTTAATTAATTAATTTAATTATAAAAATCATAAGACTTCGACAAGTCAAAAAAAAACAAAAAAAGAATAAAATTAAACATAAAATCTCTGCAACCAAACCAAAAAAACTAGTAGTGAGAAAACTTGCTAAAAAAGGAAATAAAGAAGAGTAAAAGAAAATAATGAATAGCATAGTGATACATATATATTAAATTTTTTAAAAATTATTTATATATATTTTATAATTTTTGAATTTTTTTATATTAAATAAATATGTGCTAAACACGTGATCATCAAAAAAATTCTTTATATAAACAATGATCATTATTTTTTTCAACTATATTTACATATTTGAAACTATATAATAATTTTTGAAAAATTTTTTTTTTTGATGAATATTTTTGACGACTAGTAGTTTTTGCTTATGTTATTAGAAAGTATTTTCGATATTTATCTTTCTAAAACTTTTTTATTTAGTTTATTTTATACGAAACTTTTTAAACATAATTTATTTTGACAGAAGAGTTTGCATACTTTATAGCCAAAAAAACTTTTTTTGTTGTTTACTAAGACTTTATTGATTTATAATATATAAAAGGTTTTAGTATATGAAAGTCTTTGTCTTTATGAAATATATTTTATGATATTTGCAAACTTTTTTTTGTTTGTTTATTTACTAAAACTTTTTATTTAGTTCTTATATACAAAGTTTTTTGAAGTATATAAAGGTTTTTGTCTTTAAGAAATATATTTTATAATATTTGCAAACTTTTTTTGTTCGCTTATTTACTAAAACTTTTTATTTAGTTCTTATATATTATACTTATTATTATGTTTTCAGGTCCTAATATGTAATTTATTAAAGTGGATATTATTTTTAAGTATAGAAGTATTTATTTATAGTATAATTTGGTAGTTTCGCATTTTTTTTAATTTTTCAAATTGTTTTTTATATCCTATATTTTTATAGCTATATTCAAAAAATTGTAGAAAATTGCAGTACTCTACAACTTTCAGAAAAAGATCACTTCGACAACTTTCGAAAAAAGCTAAGAATTATTAATTTTTCATAAAATGTCATAAATTTTTATTAATTTATTTATTGTATATTATTTTTATAGCATTTGATTAATTTCATTATTATTTATTAAAGAAAGTATGTATTATTTTTGTATAAATAAATTGATTTATCTTTATTTTTACTACTTATTTTGCCTATCTTCTAAATTTTCCATAGTTCTTCAAAATATTTTTAATTTTCTTAAATACCTCAATAATCATTAGTTTATGTATATATGTTAATTTTTTTAATTTTTATTTGTTTTTTTAGTTGTCAATTAACAAGTAGTTTCTTTTGGCTTTTTGCATTAATCTTCAACTTTTTTCATATATTTTCTTTTCTCTTCAATTTTCTTTGAAGTGTAGTTATATAAATTTTTAATTTGCTTTAAAAAATTAAATATTATATAATATATTTGTATACAATTTTTAAAATAAATATAGAAACTACTAAATTATTACACTTTTTCATATATTTATGAAAACATTAAAATTATTACATTTATTTTGATAATTTTATATTATTTATTTTTTGCTTCTTTTCAATGTTTTGTTGTATGTAATATCTTATTAATTTATACAAATTTTCGCAAATTTTCGCATGTTTTCATATGTTTTTGATTTTTGTTGTTCGTAAATATTCATAATTTTATGCATATATTCGCTAGTTTTCGACTATTTGCATTTTGCTACATTTAAATTTACTATGCTATAAATATTCATAATTATTACTCCTACGTAATACTCCGAAATTCTATAGCGTAAACTTTCGTAATTATTACCCTTACATAATATTCCAAACTAATTATAAATTTTTCATAAGTTTATGCTTGCATAAAAACTTACAGAGATTTACGTATATTTTTTTTTGCCAATGTAGAGTTTCAAAAACATGGTCTTTCTCATGTACATATTTTATTAATTTTTGCTTTAGATAACAAATTACAAACTATAGAAGATTATAACTCTATTGTTTCTGCTAAACTCCCTGATATTTGTACACATCCTCTTGCTTATAAGATAGTAACAACTATAATAATATATGGTCCATGTAGTTTACTAAGATCTGATGCACCTAGGGATAGTAAATGACCTGGTCATTTGCTCAAAATTTAAATGACCTAGTTATTTGGCTAAATGACCCAGGTCATTTGGTCATTAGTTATTTGGGTCATTTGCATATGAAATAATTTTATTGGTCAGATAGCTAATATAAAAAGTTATCAAATACTATGATTTTCACTAAACTATAATAGTAACTATATATAAATGTCAAAGCTTTATTAAATTTATCGATATTTCATTTTAAGTAAAGTTGCTTAGAAGAACGAATCACATATACTATATCTTGAAATTTTTATATAATTCATATAGCTTTTTATTATATTAATCTTCAGAACAACTTTACTTAAGACATAAATATCAATTAATGTAGTAAAGTTTTGACTTCTGCAATTATTATAAAAACTACTTTTGTCTAATAATTAATTTTAATTGGCTAAAAGGCATTAGATTATCAGTTAACAAGGTTAAATGACCTTCTATGGGTCATTTGAATGTGAAATGATCCAATGACCAGTCACTAGTCATTTGGGTCATTTCAGGTTATTTACCATCCCTGGATGCACCATGTATGAAAAATAATATTTGTACAAAACATTATTCTAAAACTTTTCAAGAGCATACTTTAAAAAGTAATAGTAGAAATTTTATTTATCGCAAATAAGACAATATACACTTTGTTAAAAATAGAATCTCATTAGACAATATATGAGTTGTGCTATGTCAAATTATGTACAAAATACAATGCTTATATTAATATAGAAATTTGTAGTTCTATAACAGCTGTTAAATATCTATATATAAAGGGCATGATCGAGCAACTGTTATATTTACTCATTTCAACCAAGCCAATAATCAACAATTTTCATCTAAAGTTGTTCAAATTGGCTATTTATCTTCTTGAACATCACTATGTTACATTTCAAGATGAAGAAAATCTTCAAGATGTTGCTAACCGTGCTAAAAATTGTATAACAATTTTAATAGCTTGGTTTCAGGAGAATATGAAAAACCCAATGGCATGTATATATACCTATGTTGATTTTCCTTCTTATTATAATTAAGAATTCTTTATGCTGCAAACAAACATCTAGAAAAACATCAGCAACTATAATTGGTCGACTTTATATAGTTCAATCTTTAGGTGAAAAATATTATTTACGAACTTTACTTAGCTATGTAAAAGGTGCAACTAGCTTCAATGATCTGAAAACTATAAATAACTATACATGCAGTAGCTTTAAAGAAGCTTGCTCTTATCTTGGCCTTTTTTAGAATGATACAAAATAGGATGCCTGTTTGTTTGAAGCAACTTCTGTATAAACAGGACACCAATTACGACAGCTTTTTGCAACTATACTTTTATTTTGCCAACCTGTGAAACCTGAGTTGTTATAGAATAATTATAAAATAGCATTGTGTAAAGATGTTTTATATCAAGCTAATGTGCAATTACAAGATCTCAATAATGCAAATGATATTCTTGCTACAATTGAACATAAAGCTCTTACTCAATTGGAAAATATACTTTTACTAAGTGAAAAATCTTTAAAAAATTTTTCTAATATGCCAATTTCCTCTATTACTTCAAATATCAATAATAATAAAAAGGAATTAAGTCATTTAATATGTGAAGAGAGATCTTATAATGCAATATACCTTTATTAAATAATGATCAACTTGCAGTATTTGATGCTGTTATAAGAGCAATTAACAATAATAAAGAAGAATGTTTTTTTATTGATGGACCAGGTGGTACAGGATAAACTTTTTTATATAACACTTTACTAGCAAGTGTTAAATCATGTCGTCACATTGCTTTGGCAGTAGCCTTTTCAGGAATTGCAGCACTTTTAATTAAAGATGGACGTACAGCTCATAGTTGTTTTAAAATTCTACTTAAACCTGATGAATTTTCTACATGTAATATTTTACAAAATAGCAAAGAAGCTCATTTAATTAGCATTGCAAAACTTATTATTTGGGATGAAGCCCCAATAACCAGTAAATTTGTATTTGAAGCTTTTAATAAAACATTTTGTGATATTATACAAGTAGATAAACCATTTGGTGAAAAAGTTATTGTTTTTGGTGGTGATTTTCATCAAGTACTACCTGTTGTATCTCATAGCTCCTGTGCAGATATTGTTTCAGCTAGCTTATCCTGCTCTTTATTATAGAGTAATATGAAAGTTATAAAATTAACAATTAATATGAGACTTTAGCAAACTAATGATATTAATGAGAATCAAAGACAAAAAGAATTTGCTAAGTTTCTTTTACAAATAGGAGATAGAACATACCTAATTGTTGCGGATACAGAAAATAGAATACAGTAATACTCCCTTCTAATATAGTTGTAGCTAGTGAAATGTTATCTGATCTTATTGATAATGTTTATTCAGATTTCATTCAAAACTTTAATAATATCAATTACTTAACTGAAAGAGCTATAGTAGGGCATAAATGGGAGTCCTAGGACAGAATTCGATAATGTATTCAAATTAAGCTCCCCACCACTCCTACAAGCCTTTCTAGATATATTTAATCATATCGAATTCAAGCTTTAAATTACACTAGAGCCAAATCCTGTTAACTTACTTTCCTTACTCCTAAATTTGGGCTTCTAACTTTAAGGAATACATAGTCTTTGTTAACGCTCTGGCTATGTTTTTAAATCTAAATAAGATAACAAAAAAATTATGCTATTTCGCTTGCCC